TATTTAGGTACATCCAACGATCCATGGTACCATCTATAATGTGGTAATCACCAACCCCAGCCATCGACATACAGCCTTACACCATGAGCGACGCTCCCCCGTGTTTCACAGTTGGTGTTAAATTTTCTTTTTGAAACTCTGTATTCGGTTTCCTCCAAACTTTTTTGCTAGGTGTATCAAAAACACAAAATTTAGACTCGTCGGTGAATATAACACGTTTCCAAAAATCTTCTGTTTTTGAAACGTAGTTTTTGGCCAAGTCTAATCTCTTTTACCTATTTGTAGCAGTAATTAATGGTCTCTTACGACTAATATGGCTCTTCAAATTGGCTCTATGGAGTACCCGTCGAATTGTGTCACGACTTACAGTTTTGCCTAAGGGAGACAGAATTTTTTCCTGTATTTCAGGTGTTGAAATGTGGGGATCCTGCTTAACAGTTCTAAGTATTCGACTTTCATCGCGATTCGTCAGCAGTTTCGATCTTCCTTGTCGGGGCTTATTTACAATTGTTCTGTCTTCCTTAAACTTTTTTAATATATGCTGTACTGTAGACCGTGGTATATCCACTAATTTTGAAATTTCCCTTTCAGATTTTCCTTCTTTCCAAAATTTTACAATATATTCTCGTTGAGAAAGTGATGTTTCACGTCTCTTACAATTCATTATTATTATGACTACGATATTTTCTTTCTGGATGTCTGAGATCAACTGTTGCCGATTGCAGAAGTTTAACAAAACATAGTCGATCACAAAACATTCAGTTGTTTTAAAGTTTAGTTCGTTACCAAGCGTCATATTCAGTATAAATATTCGTGGACGAACACTTTTGCGTTCGAGTTTCCCGCCACATTATAATACATCGTTTAATTTTTCATTATGTATAACAGTTATGAATCCCGCAAAATGTCATCTTATTTTGTATAAATTAAGTTTCATTTCTGCATTTTCTTTTCAAATTTCATCTGCATATTTTCCTACTTTTACCTACAGATACACTGAGTGCGGTAGGTGGACGAACACTTATGCGGCCGACTGTAATTCTTAAACTCACCGCTTTATATCGTAGGGGGCATATCAAAAACTCTGATTTTTTACACGATCGGTATTTCAGAACGTTGGACATAAAAATACATTAGGTGCGAGATCTATTCTGTACCTCGTCTGGGGTTCTAGCACTACAGATGAGATATATAGTACATCACTCATTCAATGTATTTTTTATCACACGACCACTGGGTCCTAGGACCCCGTTACCATCATTCTACACTATTGATTAAGACTGGTATTATATCACTGCGCAACTAGTGGGAGGAATTGAAATCAAGAACATTTGGCATTTGTTATTTTAAATAATGTAGGAGACAAAATTTTGAAAATTATGATGAATCAGAATGGATTCAGTCACACACATTCGCGTTTTGGGATCAAAGGGTGTATTGACAGCACAGTAACAATGTACACACGACCAATATCGATAGTTTTGCGCGATGCAGTTCTTAAAATGACCGTTCTTAAAGATAGAGTGCGCTTCAAACCAATAGTTTTGGACGATGTCGGTATTTCAGATCGTGTGACAAAAAGTACTATGTAATGATTGGTCTACCCTATATCTCGTCTGCGTTAGGACCACAGACGATATAAGGATAGACCTTGCATCTTATGAGACTTTTTGTCCGGGACTTTGGGGCCGTGAGGACCCTTACCATTTTCGTGTCGCTACCAACGTTATCGATTCAGTATAGAATAAGATTACAACATTAGTAGTAGTTGGAATAGGAATTTAACGTAACTATGAAATTACAAATAATAAAGTAACGTAATTATGTATTAGTAAATGATTCATCACATACGCGTGTTCTACTGCTATCAGAAGATTGTGAACAATTCTACACACGCAATCCAATATATGTATGTATTTTTATATGCAAATTTAATAAAAGAGGATTTTTCACATCTGTCGATTTTACCATCTTTGATGGTTGGATTCTTTGTAATTCCTAAACTTACCGCTTTATATCGCAGAGGGCATAACAAAAACTCTGATTTTTTACACGATCGGTATTTCCGAACTTTGGACACAAAAATACATTAAGTGCAAGATCTATCCTGTCCTCGTTCGTGGTTAGGTCCCCGTGGTCGTGTGACAAAAAAATACATTGGATGAATGGTCTACTCTATATCTTGTCTGTGACTATACCTCGTCTGTGCCTACGTATGAAGAATTGTCGGTAACATAAAATAACTAAAAACGTACAATTGCATTATAAAAAATATACAGTCGATCAAAAAATCTTATACAAAAGAAATTTTTATCTTGTGCAAATACTCAAATTCTGAATTACATTATTTTATTGTAAAAATTGTATAATTGATATTGTATAATTGAATTCAATAAGGATAATATATATACAAAAGATTTACGTAGTAGTAAGCTAAAATATTTGTTAGAAACATGTTGTACAAATAAGAAATACGTATTGTCGAACTGTTCCTTATTGAATTGGATTTTATATAACGTAAAATACAATGCAGTCTAATGTTATGTAATTTAAACAAATCTCTTATTCACGTCGTATTCATGTCAATGTAAGTTGATTGAAAATATTATTGATTCACGGTAAATTACAGCGTGTATTACTAATTACACGGTGCCCGCGTATATTTTTAAAACAGCCATCGGCTGGAATGAAACGAGACATTGAAATAATCGATTGTACCCACTCGATTATCGAGTACGTGCCGTTCAAAATATCGATACCGATTGATGAGTAAGTGCTGATAATACACCGCTAGTAGACCGCTAAATTGTTGAGGTTGATTTTGTGTGATTCGGTGGGCGAAACATCCCTTTGCGTGGTTGACGCGTAATTACGATTCTGGTTTTGTCGAGAGAATGAATGACGGTGAAATCTAAGTATCATCGTCGGCACATGTGCCATAATGTCACCGAACGATTCGGTCGAGGAGAATTTCAAGATACATTTTTCTACCTTACTCGAAAGACAGTGACCCACCCTAACAGAATTCAGTTTAATCAGGCGAAATCATCGAACAATGGAAAACCATACGCAGGATAATACGATCAACATGAACGGAAGTGGTAGGTTCGACGCGATAGCATATTCACGAAATATTTTTCTTCGTTCTGTATTAATGACAATTACCATCGTTCATTTTTTTACTCAATTTTAACGAGACTATGACTCAGTCTTTTTGAATAGTAACTTCTTATCAGGCATAATTATCGTTAATTATTCTGATGTTTGAAAATTTTACCAACAAAGTGTTTGTTACAATTTAGAGGATCTACAGGATAAAATAAATAGATTGGAGTCAGAGAGAATCAAGATGCGAGAGGAATTTGATATTCAGAGAGCCAAGATGAAGGAATTATTTCTCCAGAAAGAAGGTGAATTTAATTGGTGTTATTAAACATAAGAAAAGTGAAAGAAACAAGTTTGATATAATTGTAAAGATATTTGATTACTGATAAAATTTAATTGCAGAAGAGTTGAAGAGAAGGTTACAAGATAATATCTGTTTACAAAAGGAAAATACAAAGCTGAAGAATGAATTAGATGAAGCAAAAAGCCAATTGGTTGTTGCTGATTTAAAAATTCAAAATGATATACTTACCGAAAAAAGGAAGGCACAGGAAGAAATAGCATCTTTGCAAAGGGTTATACACGAGACAGTGGAAGAATCTTCATGTTCACGCAAACAATTAGATGCAGAAGTAGCTAAATTAAAGATGATTCTATCTAAGTTACAAGAAGAGAATGCATTGTTAAAATCACAATTACCTCGAGATCCACCTATGGATGGTCCACAGATATCCCTATCCACAGTAACAAAAACAATAGCCCGAAAAGTAGTTTCACAACTAGGTGCAGATGCGTTATCTTTAGCTCCTGACAATCTTGAAGAAAGCATGAGGAAGGTAAAAAGATATGTACGTAAGCATAAAAATATATGATTTTTGAACTTTTCTGCAATGAGTTTGTAGAGTGGCACCACATTTCAGAAAGTGTTCATAAATCATTTAAAACATCATCACAAGGTGTTTATTTTATTGCTTGTTTTTTTTTCTTTATCAATTTCACGTAGGTGTGCAAATATTAGAAAATGTTGCTTTATAGGCACAGGAAGATGCAGAAGTTTTGCGCTCGCTAGTAGTGCCGCTTGAGGAAGAGATTAAAGCCTTAAAAGAAAAGCTTAGAGCAACAGACGATGAGTTACAGAAATGTAAAGAAGGACAGTTGCAGAAAAAGCAGCAAGAAGCGGGTTCCTCTGAACCGGCATGTGATATGTGTTTAAATTACGAAGCACAATTAGTTAAGATACAAGCGACCGCTAAAGATTTAGAGAAGCAGCTGTTAGATTCTGATCATATGCTACAAGTGCAGAAGGAGGATTTAGCCAAGGAGGTGGAATTTCGGAAGGAAATGGAAGAAAAATGGAACGAGAAGAAAGAGGAGCATAAAATCAAAGTAGCAGAGCTCACTGCTACCTCGCAAATGTTGCAACAGACTTTAACTGAAGTAAAAAAGACTTTCGAACTAGTTCAGAGGAATGTCAAAGATGAACTGGTGAAATTAACGCGAGGCCGAGAAGAAGTACAAAGACATCTTATCGCGTAAGAAAATTTTTAATAACGTACTCACTTTCATTTCGTTGTCGTTTCCAATTTTCGACGTAAATAAAAAAGTAACATCTTTTGGTGCGACAATTCTGACAAAATTTCATTGAAAATCTAGTTGAATCTTTGCAGACTGCAAAAGGAAAATGAGAATCTTGTTGGTAAACATAGTAAGCATTCCCAGCAGCTACAGAGTGAGAGTATTAATATGCCAAATAATGTAGAGGAATTGCACGTTAGCCTTTTAAAAATGCGTGAAGATTTGATCACCGCAAAAGTGGCGCAAGAAGTTGCGCAAGAAAAGGAAGAAACATTACGGTATGAAGTGACCCTGCTCCATGAGCAAATGGAACAGGATAGCAGAGTGAAGGAACAAGAAATATTGGTATTAAATAATGAAATTAGTGGGTTAAGGTAACACCGTTCAATTTCTTAATATCCTGATTTTCTGACAATTATCAAGTTCATGTAATTTTAGTAATAATATTTTATAGAACACAATTGGATAAGTATATACGAGATCATCGATCTCTAGCCGAGAGGGAGGAGAAGCTCGAACGTTTAGAAAAACAATTGGATGCCGTTATGAAAGATAATAAAGAAGCTGAATTAAAGATAGCAGAATTACGACAACGAGTAACTAGTCTTCAACAGGAGTTAGACACTAGTGAAGCGGTTCAAAAAGATTTCGTTAGGTTGTCGCAATCATTGCAGGTAAACTGGGCAATAAAAATTATCTCGGTAGATAAAACTATATCGCATTTATTTACACTACCGTTAATTGCAGGTACAATTAGAAAGAATTAGGCAAGCTGGTAGCGAAGTAAGATGGCAACATGAAGAGGACATAGAGGAATGTCCTAGTTGTCATACTGGTTTTACGGTTACAAAGAAGAAGGTATAATATTGAATATTTGTAAATATAAATTACTTGTGTTTATAGGCGTTGTATGTTGATAGCAAGTGTCATTGATACAGGTACATTGCCGTCATTGTGGCCATATATTTTGTCAGTCTTGCCTTTCACACGTTGTGAAAAGTGGACCGAAACAAAGACCATCCAGAGTCTGTGATGTTTGCCATACGCTGTTGGTGCAAGATACAGCACCGTATTTTAGCCAAGAACCACCACACACACCTGACTAAAATATTCTAAAATGAAAAGCAGTCCAACAAGATGTGCAATATCGATTCAATGATTCAATGTGTCAATGAGTTGTTTTATAATATTACAGAGCAAACTTACTGATGCAACTGAATTCAACTTGAGAAATTCTATTTTACAATTTTCAGGAAGATGTAGAGTCGCTATTAGTAACGAGAAGGGGGCTAGATACGATTCCTATTACCTGACAACTGGAGTGATAAAGTAAATATCGTGTAAATAAAAATTATGTACTACTTAATGTTTATTGTAATTTAAAAGATTAAAGCTTTTGAATGTATGTGAGTTATTCGAAAATTTGTGAATATTTATCTACTATCTTGTTATATACATCATTAAAAATAAGACTCATAGAATTAAGTATGTTACAAATTTCATTCTTTATTTCGAATTGTTTACTTTAATTGCCTATATTCATACCACTAAAAAAAAGAACGAAAAAAAAACATTGCATCATTTCTTAGTTTATTTTTAAAGCGCAAGTCTGTACATCCTCTTGTTATAAGATAAAGTTCTTTTTTTAATTTAATATTGTATTCCAAAAAATTTTTCTACCTTAGTTCTTTATTACAATGTTTATATAGGAACAAAATATTCGATAAAAAGTAATAGTACATCGCATATCACATATTTGATTTCACAGGATTTGTGAATAAAAAATATAATTGGAGTTTATAAAAATAATTGCGTCAAATATAGTCGTCGTCTGATAAATCATGCAGTGTATGGGAATATTTCTTTTCTTAAACTTGGAATTTTGAGCGCGAGACTTTTTCTAATTTTTAATATTTCGTAAATCATCAACTAAAAAGTACATAAATCTCTTGATGACAAATATGTTTTTGAATAATCAAAACGCGTCCTAAATGCTGCTGACAAATCGATCGCAACGCAAAAACGTTCAGCTCTAAAAATTCTTGATTTTCTGCTTAAACTAACTGTAAAATATAATTAATACATACAAAATGGTGAGGTACAAAGTACAAACATGAAGAGGTTCATGTGACTATGTTTGAATAATCTTAACGATATTGCCAGGAATATATGATTTACAATAGTCCTAGTCATTTAGAGTGTAACTCGTCATTTCATTCATACTTTGGCCCGAGTTACTTCAACTCAAAATTAGAATCAATATAAGAGTCGATCGGCGAAAGTCAATAATTATTAACATTCGATAATAAATTTACAGATATATTACATAGAAAAGAACGTCTTAATTACATTTCTGATTGGTTGCGGCCGTCCCTTAGGATCGATCGGTGGCTCTTCAGATTCCACGTGTTTATCTCTAAGCATTTTCCAGTTGCTCAATATACTTTCGTACTCCAAAATTTTTTCATACTCATTCAGTTTCATATAAACATACAAAAGTCCGTGATAATCGTACTCTAAGCCACTATAGCTTTTACCGAACAATTTTAAACCTGACACACGATAAAATTGAATTAAAACGAACGACGATGTATTTAATAGATTTATTATAATATACGATATACTTACTGATCTTGATACTCCTGTGATAAAGCTTTTCGGCGTCTCTGTACCGGTTCATGTGATAATTATACAACGAGGCTAAATGTCCTATACTCAGGCCAACTTCGTGATCGTGTGGTCCTAATAGTTCCTCTTTTATACGTATAGCTTTTAGATGCATTGCCTCAGCTTCCTAAAATGAACGATAAAGATATAACGGTGATATCGTATGTTCAATAGGTATATTTACGTGCAATATGTACCTTACATTTCCTCATACTTTGATACACGCGCCCCAAGTTTCCATAATGTTTTGCTGTTTGCACGTTTATCTCGCCGAATGCCTCTCTCGCCGATTGCAAAGCGGATAAATGAAGGCATTCAGCCTTGAACAGTAGATTTTGTTTGGACAACGGTGTCGACGTGCTATCTAACGCTATTTCTTCGAGAATTAATGCATTTATTCGTTTTGCGCTCGCTAACAACAAATGATCCGCATGTAAAAGGTTTAACATTATGGCTATTGCTCTCTGTATGTGAACACTGTTCATTTAAAGTGAAATAAAATTGTATGACTTTTCGATATTTCAAAAAGCAATAAATCATGAAATTACTTACCTTGCTTCTGGGAATTCACCGGATCTGTATTCGTATACGTAAAGAGCATAAGCTAAATCTTCGTGTGCCAGTGCAACGTGTAAATTCATTCTACCGAATATTTTTATTTTAATAGCTAATGCCTCCTGTGAGAAATATTGCAGTACAAATAAATAAACAACGAAAGTATAAAACAATGAAAAGAGATATATACAAACCTTATAAAGATTTACACTGTTAATAATATTATCAAAGTTTAACCAATAAAATCCATAGTCTGTCAGAACATTACTGTACACTGGATGATTTGTTCCGAATACTTCTCTGGCATGATGCACAGCTTCTCTGATCAACAGACCAGCTCTTTGAAATTCACGCTTTAATATACACGATTTTGCCGCCTGTCTTAGAACATCAATAATAACGCGCGCGGATAATGTATGATTCAATTCTTTTAGTGCTTTTATACTCCACCTGAAAAAAATTATACAATCAATAAAATTGATAAATGATCAAATTCATAAGAGTAAAATGCAGTATATTACCTATAAGCCTCATCATATTCACTCTTCATATAGAAAAGTATACTAAATTCAGTGTATGTGGCAGCACAATTGTAATACTTATAGCCTGCCTCTTTGATTTGTGTTAATAGGTCTACAGCAAGCTGATATGTTTCTGCTGCTTGTGAAAATACACAATAGGCTGCTTGTACATGTAACAATCTAAATATTTGAGTAATTATTGTAAATTCATATAAGTCCATTTATTAACATTATGCATATAGAACACATCTTACTTGCGGTAACATTCTAAAGTTCTACACCAATTGTCATTATGTGCAAGACATAATTCTTTGCAAGCTAACAACACCTGTTCACTTTTAGCATACCAACCACCATCACTAAAAAATCCACCAATTCTTAGACCTAGATTTATCACTTTCTCTGGATTATCTACATCTTCCCTAGCTTGAAGACAATAACTCATAGCCAACTCTTCCACAATTTGTATTCCATGATCTATGAGAGCCTTGAAAATTAATTAAAAACAAACAAATGCACAACATAAAAAATATAAAAGCTACTTTTAATTCCTCTTAATATGAAAAAAATGATTACCTGACAAATTTGTAATAGGCCTGTACGGCGACTGGTGACTGTCAGCATCTTGGAGAAGATCTCTAAATTGCTGAAATCAATTCCCAGTCGACATAATCTTTTTTCTTTGTACAACTGAAAAGAGAAACATCAACGAATTACTTTGTGCAATAAATTATTTCTACTTTGTTGCACTCCCGTTTGAATATATAACATCTCTTTATTAATAAAAATCATAACAATGAAAATTTTATGAAGAAATTTTTTTTTGCGCTTGTCAAAATGAACTTTCGCGTGACTCATGCACGGGGGCAATATCCAATGCGAATTAATCGCAAAAACTGATAGGAAAAAATTACTACAGTGTCACAAAGAAACACATATCAACGAAATGTTGTTCACGCTTAACGAATCATGTCATTGCTCTACGAATCATGTTGTATCGTAAATATACATATAAATGCGAAAGCAAGGAATCAGCGTACAGGTTAAACATATGACATATCGTATATGTTGTCTGTTGTTGTTGAATCATCCAAATTTATTTCTTGACATTTTATATTAACGCAAGCTAAATCCGTCATAACAGTGTGTTATGATTGTTGGAAACGTGTGTTGATGGAACGCGGAACATCGTTTCATGTATATCGATGCGTCGAATAAAGATTTCGAAAGGAATGAATAATCAATTCGATCTGTATGATCATTCTGGTGAATGATAAGGAAAAAATTCATGCTGGAGTTAGAAAAAAAATATACATTAGTGGTGACGGTGATCAACGGAAGGACAAGATGTTTTGACGTTTACCTGATGATAAATATCGAACAGCATTTCATTCGGCAGATCGGTGAGATACCTCCTCATGAAGCGAAACTTGTTCGCTATCGCCGATGCACTTAATTGGTACAGAGTTTTTGGGGAAAACACCGGCGGTTTGCGTGTTTCGGCCATTTTCCTAGAGGCGTTCGATAATCACGAACGCGCACACAGCCGCAATAATTGCTGTCACGTCTTCGTGCGCATATGCTGCTGCGATGCTCCGCCATCCAACCACCAGTGGCAACCCCCACTTTTAGAAACGACGGTAAAAGTAAATGTCTAGCGCGCCAGATACACGAACCGCGAATTTTTCTTTTCCATTACACTTGTTGCTACAATGATTTCATGGGTCTCCTCTCGAATGATCTCGTCGAGCAGAAATCGATATCGCATGGAATGAACTTGAAATGGTGAAAGTAACATCTATTGTATTCTAGAACAATTTGGTTACTGTATAGACGAGATATCAAAGTTCTGCAACAGTGTTACAAATTAATTTTTTATTTCTACAGTAATAGTTAGTTAATATTAAAGAAATTCAAGATTTGATTTTTTCAAAAAAAAAGTAGGCATTTTTTGATTTTCGAAAAAATTACGTAATTTAAGGGGTCTACTGAAAAATTTGTAAAATTCCAATGTTGCTTACTTGAGCGAATTTTACGGCAAATGAGAAAAACTAATCGTTTTGGCAGATTTAATAGTTTTAATCAAAAATGCGATAGTGAATAGTGTGCGTGAGAAAAAAAAGACAGTCGATACTGTTACGATCGTGGAGGCCGATTAATGGCGCCAGCATTGGGCCATGCCTTCTTTGATCCGGGCTCCTTTTTCCCAAAATATAAGCAGCGGTGGAAACATTTAAGGTGATTCGACGTCACCTGTGATCCTTGGCGCGATACAAAGTGGCGGAAAAAGCGGTAATCTGTGTGCGCAAGTGAAAGGAAATTGGTACGCGTACATGCACCGATTGTGAAAGTTTTGAATATCAAATCGTGTTTTTGAGATCGCATTACAAATCATTGGACGACTGTCCTCATGGTGAACGAGCAAACCAGCGATTTTAACATTTCAGCTTTCTGCAACTTTATCTTTTTAAATTGCATTCACATATTGGGAAATAATGTAATTATAACCTCTCATTCCATCGAACATTTTTATGTCTGATTCTATTCCAGTCAATACTAATTACACGGTCATCGCGTGCAAATCTATCAATAAAGATGTTTCTATGCACGTGTTATCAGACACGCGACTCACTAAATTGCTCTTATACGCAAGTGCACGTATAGATATTTCGATCTATCAAACTAAGAAAGCTTTGAAATATTATGAGTTAAAGGAGGATTGATCTTTTATTTATTTTATCTTAGAAGTACATTAGATGCTGTACAAGGCACAAGGATGAAGAAGGAAACGTCTGAGGAGGATAAAAGATCTGAAACAACAATGCAGGACACGGTTGAGGTACCAAATACCTCGTCGGATGAAGTTCATGACGATCGAGCACGTGCTTCCGGTCGGGAAGAGTTTACGTGTTCCTTGTATATCTCGCGTGCCATCGGACCGCAAGGTCAAGTGCAAGGAATACAAGGTGGCAAATTGCCTGTTTCTTTATTTAGCCAGTTCCCCGCTTGCATAAGCGATCTCGTTTACATCTTCTCGAGATATATGTACAGTCAGTGCAAGAAATATGCGAGATCCCAAAATTAGTCGGACGTCAAAATAAACCTGTTTTATGTTACGACCTCGCTATATTCTCTTCACTGACTATACACCCAAAAACTCGCGCGCTTTTCCTTCCGTCTATCTTTCTCCCGACAAGACAGCGAGAATTAAGCAACTGGTATTGGATTGCATCACCGTCTCGGTTAGGAAAGTTTCTTCTTCCTCATACTTAAGAAATGTTGCTGTTTTGACAACAGAGGCATTCTCACGCGTGTCTAGTAGATTTTTAATCGAGGGAGAGAGAGAGAGAGAGAGAAAGAGAGAGAGAGAGGTCAAGAGGACGTGTAAAATGAATAAGTGGTGACAGGTGGCGAGTTGCTGCGTTCGAACCTAGAAGAGGTGATCCGCACGTCTAATCCTTTGGCTGCTTGGCACGTGTCTGAAACTCTTTGCGGTCTGATTGCGGCGTTTACGCGCGAAGCTGATGCGGAGAAACTATTGCAGTGCGGCGATTTGGCGCGAGTTTTCGAAGGACCCGTCCAAGTATCTATGTTTGCTAACCTAATTGTCCTATCACTCTATGCTGTCTAGTACGCAGTTATGATGGATATTCCTATAGGAAACCTAGTAAAAAAAATCTGGAAACACTGAATATACGACCTACACTGCTGCATATATCTATACGGGGGAATATGGGGATTATGTTTGAATGTCAACAGTAATATTTCAGTCGATACTGTATCTTATTTACATAAGTATCGATTTTGATCTTAAGTGTCAACGTATGTATACTAATTCATTTCGCTATCGATTTTCAACTCGAGAAGTGATTAAATATTCACTCGAAATGACTGTAAATTGCGTACAGCATCATTGCCCGTATAATCGTTGCTTCACATCGCAATCGGCCGCTTTCCTCGTCGCTTTCTCTTATGCAAGAAAGTGAGATAATCGTAGGCTTACACAACTTGGCACGCTAAATTTCCAGGCTGTGTGGGAAACACGGCCAGAAATTTTGTTTTCTTTCGAAATTAATCGAAGTGTTAATTTCAATGTTAATGATGCAATCAGGTGGCGCGATTCTCGGCGAAGGACTCTCGTTATAGACAGGCGGTTCTTTTGCGTGACGTACCCTGGGCCATTCCCCTGCAGGACATCAACTCCGCTCTGATGAAACAGGGAATCGCGACAGGAAGCATGGAACGTTGGCGGCAATATGTGCGCGTCGAGGTAACTGTTAATTAGCTGCCAACGTATGGCTGATGAAAACAAATAAAATAACCAGAAAAGGAGACGATAAGCAGGTTTTCGTTGGAAGCCTCGTAATCTTAATTGTACCAGATAATTTTTTTTCATATTTTTTTTTCAAATATAGTAAAAGAACTCATACTTAACATTTCACGGTCGATATTTCATGGACATTTTTACTGACCAAAATGTACTTATTTTAGGTGCTAGATGCTGGACATTACGAACTACTGTTACGTCAGGGCCTAGATTTTTTTG